CTTCTTTACAACAAGAACCTGGGGCACGCATATTCGCTTCTATTCGTGACAAATTTGTCCTTTTAGCTGCCCTTACAGTATCTTTGAAGGCGGCTCCTTGTAGGAAAATAAAAATCCGAATAAATCCAAGTGCTGTTCCAGTATTCGCGCCTTTGTATTCTTGTTTTTTCTGTTCGCAGGGTTTCTTGGATAAGCATATTTTGTTTTACGTTTTTGTTTTCTTTAGGGCGGCGTCGTGCCATGTCCTTCTGTGACATCGTGCCCCCTTATCTTCTTCCCCCGCTTCCGGATTACGCAGAATGTTCCCAGCCGCCACCTCCCTTCATGGAGCAGAGGGCTCCATTAAAGCGCGTCAGCACTGCTCCTTCTAATTTGACAAAACCCATGGAACTGGCATCATGGTCGCCATCACCACCACCAACACCAGGACAGCCGCTTGACCCATCGACCCCGCCGAGGAGACAGAAGCGGACAGGCTATGGTTCTTTCCGGTCTGAGGTATTGCCGCCGCCCGCTTACTCAGGCCAAGTCCAAGAAGAGACGGCCGTCCAATGAAGTTGCACATTTTATAAAGACAAAAACTACTTCGCAGTCCTTCAGATGATTAAATGGCCCACAAGTAGCTCCACACTATTTAGTGTCCATTTTTTTGACAAATGGGCTATGCAGTAATTTGTAAATTTCACAAAATTATCCGTGCCGTGTTATTAGCATACGGATGCAATCCGCAATGTTCCCCTTGATTCCACGTTGATAATTATCGGGAATACGCTGATTCCTACGATCATTCAACTTAGAGAAAGGCGCCGAGTGCACCTCTACGCAGCTGTGGCTATTGATTTTTCATCCCATATGATTGGTCCCCTGCCACTGACGCCTGCTCATGGAGTGGATTGAATAAATAGCCCGCAACCTTTTTCGTAAGAGGGACTGACAGTGACTTGCTTGGCTTGTAATTTCCGATTAACTTTTCTTGCTCCCTCGTGGGCTTTCAGGACAACGACTGGACTAGCTCAGAGTTCGTGCAAGTACCAGGCGCGGGTCTTATTAGGAATTTAGCGGAGTACTTTAACCCGCAAGGGGTGCAAAATTCAGCAACGCAGAGGAGTACAGACTTAATGGACAACCATTGGGTAAAATTGATTCTCGTCAAGTTGTACTTATTTAGTAAAGGAAGCCAATCTTAAAGTCATAAAAGGTAAATATATTGTTAATATAAACTATGAATATTAGTTTAGTGAGGCAGGTCGTTCCGGCTGCCATAGGTACATTTTGCGCGTCCTCAAGGAAATTCGATAGGTAAGCGTCTTATCGGTTCAGAGCGTGATTTGCATATTGTGTGTGATAAAATTGCGGACTGTGCAAAATTAATGATTTGCGAAGTTCCAGGTAAGCGACATCGAAATTTAATTAAGAAGTAATTCCAAAAGCCATTGAATTAGGAGTTTTATTCCAAAAACTCCACTGACTGTGCATTTATGTCGGATGATAATTTGTTCAGGGACTTAAGCACATCTGACTGATTTTCATCCGAGGCTTTATGCTAATTTTCCTTGAATTTTAGCGGACGTGAAAATGTCTCGGGAAAAGGACAATGAGAAAAGGACATACTACCAGCTTAGATATCTCTTATATTCATAACGTATTTTCTATTTACGCGGTGGTCAATATGACAGAAAAAGAGCCAATTTTAAATGTAATAATCTGATGCAGTCTCATTTCTTTCAGTAAGAGAGAGAGAGAGTCCGCTCTAGAATCGATGGTTTGTTAGAAATATAAAACAAAATGGAGAAAGAGTGCATGGATCTGTGTCAGTTGTAGAACTAAAAGATGTCTCGAGGTTACAGATCTTAGATTAGTTCATAATTTATAGGAACACAGGGTCAGGGGGAAATAAAAAAGAAACGTTTCTCGTTAAACTGAAGCGTTCTTCATCATAATTGATCACTTCAAGACCCTTTTTCTATGACTGTAAATGTGTGAACGCGTGGCCAAAACTATAGTAAGATTCTGCGGAAACGGTTTATTTTCCTTTTGGTTTGGTTTCTATATTACTTCTTAGTGGAAAAAAGTAGTATGCAAAATGTATCTTGTCACATGCGTTAAATGCAGCCGGTGCCGCCCATTAGGTTACAGCTTGGACTGTTAACCGTTCTTAAACGCCATAGATCACACCATCAGGAGGCCTACCAACGCAATGTAACCAAACAAATGAAAATTTAGTCTCCTAAGTTGTGGACAAAAACTAGATGAAGTCGAAGACTACAGCTGGTTCCACTTGTTGCTGCATGAATTGTGCATATAAAATGACTGCAATTACTATTGATTTCCCGTAGAATCAATGAGTAACCTCATAAG